TTGTTCTTCTGTGAAGTTCTGGATTGTGTGCTAAACGAATTGCTGCTTCATTGTCGACAAAAATTTCTGGCTTTTTCTTTAGATCTACAATGTCGTTCAACAATCGTTTGAGCCATATCACTTCACGAGCTGCTTCACTTGCGGCAACGATTTCTGCTTCAGTAGTTGAAATCGCAACTGAGGGTTGACGTTGGCTAAACCAACTGATCACGCTTCCTCCAAACGTACAGATTAATCCTGATGTCGATCTTCCACTACATTTATCTCCTTCATGATCTGCATCACTGTAGGCTATAAGTGTAGGTCAGTGCTATAAGGCGTGCGGGTTCGCACGGCGAACACGCTGTTGAGATGCTATAAGCCGTGAAAAATCCGCACGGCGAATTGAACATGTTAATGCTGTAAGGCGTGAGGCCGCAAGGCGAATTCGACGTTGAGATGCTATAAGGCGTGCGATTCGCGGTAAATACGACGCTTGAAATTATAAATCGTGAGACATCTGCACGTCGAATTCGACGTTAAGATGCTATAAGGCGTGCGAATTACGAGCGGGCGAATACATTTGAAAGGTGTAAAGCGTGAGACTAGCACTACGAATTCGACGTTAAGATGAAAATAAAAAAATAACCCTAACCCGCAAGCCGAATTCGACGTTGAGATGCTATAAGGTGTGCGAATCACGAACGGGCGAATACGACGTTTAAAATCATAAATCTTGAGAAACCCGCACGTCGACTTTGAGATGCTATAAGGCGTGCGAATCACAAACGGGCAAATACGACGTTCAAAATTATATATCGTGAGGAACCCGCACGTCGAAATGTTATGAGGCGTGCGAATCACGAGTGGGCGAATACGACGCTTAGACGGTGAAAAGCGTGAGATTCGCACGACGAATTCGACGTTGAGATGGCCGAAGTCTGTACAACAAAGTTGACGCTATTTTGACGATACAGGACGCAGTCAAAGCGCAAAATTTAACGTTTATTAAGACAATATAAAGCATTAAGTGTCGTATAGTAACACACACAGACAAACACACATATTTACACAGTAATGCACACGGGTTCATTGTTCATGTGTTAAGACGAAACAGTTACCAAAAGACCCAAGATTGTTATATCAACACTGTCGACAAAACCACGTCCCTTTTGGTAGCCTTTTCATTTCAATACATGAATAGTGAGTGGTACCAATTTACGCAGCCATCACACTGCACCCCCCGAAGTACGAGTTTGGTTGTCTCTTCCAGAGTGATGTCTACAAACAACACAAACATACAAATTTTGTCCAATTGACCACATCTTATTTTCTAATTTTGTCCATGCTTCATTGGAAAAGTATTGTTTTAAGGTGGACATATTAGCACGGTCATCTGTGCATCTTGGATCAATTATTTCTTTAACATCGTTAATTGATGCTATGCAATCCGTCTGAACACAGTTTTTGGCTGTTTCTTCAGATAACTATTAATAAACAAAATTTAATTACCATTAATCATTATTAAAAACTTCATTTTAATTTTTTAAAGTATTATTATCACTTGCAACATACAACAATAAACATAATTTTATTATCACTAATCATTATTAAATATTTCAATTTAATTTTTATTACTACCTTCCGATTTTTGCAGTATGCCACATTGACTGCTGCAGTGCAACCACACAACAAGGAAACTTTCTATCACATCAACACATCCACATTCACAAATCCATCTCCTAACTTTATGACTCGGAACTCATTTTTTCAAATTAGAGTGATAAAATAACAAATTTTATTTTATTTAATTAAATTATATCAAACAAAACAATAAAAATCAAGCGAATCTTCAAAGCCTCGTCGCTCACAACTGAAAGAAGAAGGAAAATGAACTCTTGCCAAAGATAATAAATAATAGTATTATGACGCGCAAATAAAAATTTATTTAAAAAAATTTTTTTTTTTAATTTATTTTCAATTGTAAGTAACGGAAATTTTTACAAATACTTTTTAAAATAATATTTGGCATAAAAAATAATTTTTGAACATATTTTTCGTACGCACGCCTTATAGCAGTCTAACAAGTTCATGGTCGGCGTGCGGCCCGCACGCCCGATAGATTTATCGATAAGGGTCTTGTTTTGACCAGACTTGTAAACAATACCGACCTCAGCTGTGCCTTGCAAATATCTGAAAATTTGCTTAACTTGGCCTACATTGGACTTGATGGGTTTCTCTAAACTTCTGGATGCTACTCCAACTGCATATGCAATATCTGGTCTTGTTCCCGTCATCAAGTACATCAATGCACCAACTGCTGATCTGTAAGGAAATTTCACTTCCTCGTGTTCATTTTTGTTTTCATTGAACTCCTCAGATTTTGAAATTGGAGTTGTACAGGATTTACACTGACTCATCCCAAACTTTTCAAGAATCATTCTTGTATAGGATGACTGACTGACATTAATATTTCCCTTCTCATCTTGATTAACCTCTAATCCAAGGAAATATGTTGCAGGTTTAGATGTTATCTTGAACTCTGACTTTAATTCTTTTTCAAATATTTTTAGTTCTTCTTTATCGGTTTCTGCAACTAGTCCATCATCAACATACAGTGCAAGTATGAGTTTCTTTCCTCCCTGTATTCTAATTAACATACAAGTATCTGCATCGCTTTGTTTGAAATGTCTCTTTTTCAAGAATTCAGCAAAGTGTTTGTTCCAACATCTTGGAGCTTGTTTAAGTCCATAGAGACTTCGCTTGAGTTTACAGACTCTTTCTGAATTATCTTTAAAAACCTTCAGGTTGCTCCATGTAAATATCTTCATCTAGTTTGCTGTATAGAAATGCTGTTGACACATCAAACTGCATGAGTGACATCTTTTCATTTGCAGCAACACTTAATAGTGTTCTTATAGTTGAACTTCTGACCACAGGACTATAGGTTTCTTCATAGTCAATTCCCTTTTTCTGAGAAAAACCTTTTACCACTAGCCTGGCTTTAAAACGTTCAACAGAACCATCTGGATTGTGTTTTACCTTGTAGACCCATTTGCATGGTATTGCCTTATGACCTTTTGGAAGACTTACCAAGTCCCACGTTTTATTTTCCTTTGATGACTGCATTTCACTGCTCATGGCTTTAAACCATTCATCTTTTTCATCACTTTGAATGGCATCTTTGTAGCTCACTGGTTCAAGTACTTCACATAATGCAAACATAACGAAAGGATCATAACGAGATGGCTTTTTGATATTCCTGTCACGTAAAACTATACTTTTGGTCTTTTGATTACAACAGTCTGATTGATCTTCTTCATCAGATGAAACTGAATTACGGTTGTGAACATCTTCATCAGTTGAAATATTTTCTTTAATCAAAGTTTTTTTATTTTCATCTTTGATTTCAACATCAATCGAAACTGTATCATCTGAACAACTTTCTTCTTGCAAAATCACTGAATTTGGTTTGACAACCTTCTCATCAAAAATAACATCTCTTGATCGATGCATTTTAACACGTTTCTTATTCTGATGTCCCATTCGTTCATGGTATAACTGCAATGCATCTTGATCATTGACAAAGTTAACTTCGACTTCAGAATTTAACGGTCTAACAGTTTTTGCAACAAGTTTGAACAAACCTCCATTGTTGTTTCTTATTCCAACAACATTTATCACATTGTCAATAAGTAGATGACAAATTACGCTTATGTATGTATATATGTAGCTGTTCTACCCGTGCAACGCGCAACGCCGGGTATTAAAAAGTTAATACAAAAGTCATATAATTGTATACATTTTATTTATCAGACACTTGAGCAAGTTACATGAAATTGACATGGAAAAAGCAAAATGTTTCTGAGTTTGTTCAAAAATTGACCGTGTGATTTGCTGCTGGTCATTGCAAAAACCTATCGGATTTTTCTAACGTTAGATCGTAAATCAATTGTCAAGTTTCTTGAGTTCAAAGCCAAAATTTTTATTCATTTAAGCATGATATCAATAGAACAGAAAAGCTTAGCTGAATCAATACTTTTAGAACAAAGACATTTATTATTCAAAATATTCAAATAACAAATATTCAAAAGCGTGCATTTGGAGTCCGTCCCACTAATAAATTTACTAACAGAGAATATTTTTTCATAATATTTGGCTGCACTCCGGATATCAGTCACAGTGAACAAATGACTCAGGTAGTTTGTTGAGTCAAAAAAGATACAACGGAAATAAATGAAAGGTTTATTGATTTTTTTCCCAGCTAGTGACCAAACAGATGAAGGTCTCAGTCAAATATTTTTTAAAAAATTAGACATATATGGACTTAACTTTGAAAATTGTAGGGATCGATCTTATGACAATGGGGCAAATATGGCGGAAAAATATAAAGAAGTCCAGTCCAAATTATTGCTGAAACACAAACTGGCATATTTTGTTCCGTATGCTCTCTCAATTTGGTTGGTGTTAATGCATCCAGTGCTACTATCAAAGCTTGGAACTTTTTCGGAACTTTGAACAGTTTGTTTTCCTTTTTGCAGTTTCAACTTCACGCTGGGAAGTTCTCAAAAAATGTCTGATAACATTGAAACCTAAAAGGAAAACAAGATGGTCTGCAAGATTAGATGCGGTCGAAGTTGTATATAAACATTATAGTAAAATGATGCAGGCTCTAGAAGAGCTTAGAAATCCTGATCTCTCAACTCCTTAAACTGTGAGTGAGGCCAGCTCTTTTTTGAAAAATATTGAAAAACTTGAATTCACTGTGATGGTAACTTTTGGCATGCATTGTTGAAAAAAATTAACCACGTAAATGAATTTTTACAAAAGTGAGATTTAACAGTAGATTTAGTTGCCCAAAACCTCAAAGGTCCTTTAACATTTATGAAGTCTTGCAGAGAGTTTGCACCATTTGAGGCCATTGCTGAGGGTAAATTCTTAGCAAAAATGAATAATCTAACATTTGAATTTTTAGAAAAGAGACCAAGAATGAAAAAAAAACCTTGATGAATTGTGTAACAATGAAGCTCTTGCAAGTTGAAAATGCGTACCAAGTGGCTATGTTAGAAATCATTGACCGGATGATTTCAGACCACCTTCGTAACAGATTTGAAGCTTTGTATAATGTAAACAACATGTTTGGATTTTTGAGTGGTGTTAAAATTGAAAAAATGCAGATAACAGACCTAAAAATTATAGCAGAAAAATATATACTCAGCTGATCTCAACATCGAAGAATTCAACTTTGAAATAGAAAGTTGTAAACATCACGCTTTGACAGTTGACAAAAGTTTGAAAGAAGCCACATAAAAAAATGTTGAGTCTCATTTATAAAAATAAATTAGAAAAGACTACCCTAACATCACTACCGCATTGAGAATTTTTTCACATTGCCTGTCACAGTTCCATCTAGAGAACAAAGTTTCAGCAAACTCAAAATCATCAAAAACTACATGAAAAGTACAATGGGGCAGAAGATACTTTCCAATTTAAGCATAATTTCAATCAAACACAAACGAGCATTCCTTGTTAATTTTGATGATATAATTAATATATCTGCAGTTAAAAAATGCTAGAAGAATTTGTTTTTAATATACTATACAAAACAATTACTTGATATGTTGACGTGGCAATATAAACAAAGTTTTTCACTTTTTAATGTTGCATAACTATATTATTGTTTTTTGCTATGTGCATATTGATATTTCCATTACTAATATATTTTAATAAGAAACATGTAGTATGTAATTTAAAAAAAAACTGCTTACGGTAGTAGCATAATGAGTTTTGCCGCTAGTTCCGGCCCTGTATTCAGAAATATGCGGTGATTTTCATCAATAATTGCATTCTTGACATTCTTAATCCAACATATATATATATATATATATATATATATATATATATATATATATATATATATATATATATATATATATATCATGAAACATATTCCGAAATATCAGATTATGAAACTTATCCTGAATTGTCTGAAGGAGAATATCTAGGAATATGCATAACGGTTGGAGTAATCATGATCGTCATATTGTCCATGGTTGATGTAAAGCTTAGAAATTACAAAGGTTATATCATGTCATGATTATGTCAATTGAGTGAAACTTATCTAGTTTCCTAATCTATCTGTGTTTTTGAAGCACTAATAAAAAATAAATAACACTAATAAAACATTTACATAGGAGTGAGATCTCGGTAGATCCAATATTAAAATTAAACAAGTTTAATGGCAACAATAGTGTTTTAGCGAAATTAAATGTGTTTTCGAGAATGGAAATATGACGGAAATTGTAATTGGTTACTAAATATTTGAATGAAAAAACAATTTCTGACTACAGCTAAACTGCGCTATCAAAATTCACTCAATTTAACTTTGGTAGCATGTGTAGCGAGAAAATTATTAGGCCAATCAGCAAATTGAAAGGCACTTAATTTTAACATTAATTATTTTTCATTTGTATACTCTTACTTAAAATTTTTCATAAATTTTCAGATAATTAACTGATCGGATAAAGATGAAAAAGATAGAATCAGCAAAATGACTGACAAATGGTTGTAATAAATGAGCACACAAAAACTTGAACGATCAATGATTTATTTTCAAATTTAAAAAAAGTGTTGCACATAGCTATAAATGATACTTCAAGTGTTCCCGAAAATAATTAAACAAAAACATTGAATATGACTTCAAAATGAAAATGTAAAAAACTTTAAAAATTATTTACTAAATCTATTTAGGAAGTTCTACAATTAATTTAATTAAAACCATACGTACCATACAGGTACACTCAGGGTCGGCTTGGTTTACAAAACCTGCCCTAAAAATTCGATCATGGTGGCCCACATAATTATTTGCTTCATATAAATATTTTCAATAATTTAACTTTTTACCTGTTTTCAATTTAATTTAACTTTTATACAATCTTCATCAGTTAACCATAATTATTTCATGCATAAAAATGAAATTTTTACCTTTGAAAACACTACTTGAAGTGCATGATTGATTTTATTTATTACCCGTTTAAACTTTAAAAGGTTAAAGGTTACTCTCTCTCTCTCTCTCTTGCGCTTGCTTCAGAGGTTTCAACGAAAACACACACATCGTGTATATGAATACGCGTGAAAACCCCGCATCATACACATTGCATATGATAGGCGGGGATCTCTTTGTATTCGAACCCAGTCACTGCGGCAGCAAGATCAGGCGATTTTAACCATTGAACCATCATGCCGTAAGTATGCAAAAAAAACTTCTGTTCAAACAATTTAAAAATAAGGAGCACTAAAACCTAAAATTTATATTCTCTTTTAACGAGACAGCTCTTCCATCGTTTCACTAAAACATCAATAAATTTCAATGTCATTGATTCTTGGAGAAGATCCTTCCTGCAAGACATCAGCATGAATGATTGTAAAGTTGACTGCCTCAGCAAGTTTCTCAATTTGTTCAAAATGCATTTCAATTGGAAAACGACCTTACACACAAGCAGCTTGCGAAGGATGATGTCAAAACAAATTTGTAAACCGGATACACATTTAAATAAGCATGACTAATTACTATGCAAATAAAACTTTTGAAAAACGAAAAAAACATACATTTTTCAAAAGATTTGCTTTTATATCAGTGATTGTTGCTGTTTTCATATGATGGGATGGTGTGCATATTTTCAACTAATTCTACTTATTCAGATTTATCAAATGTCGCCTGAAACTGAGTCCAATACTTTCATTTTGAAAATAAAAAGGTTGTTTGAAAATTTTCTCATTTTCTTGCAAAATCGAAAAGTTCATTTTTCACGGTATCATCAATTTTTGAGCAACCCACTCAGCTTTGTGAACACTGACAAGAAATTCATCTTTCACACTTCCAAGCGGTTGATTGGTTGATGCTTTTTTCCTTCAAAACTGTCTGCATTTCAATGTCGAGATTAATTTTTTCTAGTTCACTAATGGCAAATTTTGTGAAATTTGTAGAAGCTCGAAAATTAACATGTTATTGACTATAAACACTTACCGTCGGAAGCTTATTACATTACATAAATATAGTTAGTTGGACTCCTTATGTAATGATTTTTTGTTTCAGTTAGTTCAATGCAAACTATTATTTGAAGCTGTCATAAAAACAAACGTAATTTTTGTTAAAACTAAAAAATATAACCTCGTTTTGACAAATGGCTAACACCGGCCCACCAGGAATGGAATTTCTCGGTGTCCCGGCGGCCCTGTCCAAGCCTGCCTACACTCACGCACACACACAACATGCACATATAAACCCCGCGCGCGCACACACATACACACTCACACATACATATATATATATAATTTCTCTATTTTTCTAATAATAAATTGTAATTTATTATTTAGTTTATTAATTCAATAAACAAAATGTTATAATTCATTATCTGATAACATAACGAATGGCAGACCAGAATTTTTCAAGCTTTAAGTTGGAAGGTTCATTTTGATACATTAACTTCTTTGATAAAATCGTGGATTAAAATCTTTGATAAATGCATTGTCATTCATGGATTTGAATCTTTGTTTTTTGGTCTTTGTGCCACCCCGTTTTTATATCAGCTTTCTTTCTGATTGACTTCAAATTTGAAGTTGCCCAAGTAATGTAAGGCTCAATTAGTTTCATATAACTTAAATGATAAGTTTCAAAATGATACTTCTCTTTGGAGTTATCAACCGCAACCAATTCAAGAATTTATTGACTCCTGATTGCAAATCAAGTGGCGTTTTGACCCTGACAAGTTGGGTCAACTGGAACTTTGTTTTATATCTGCTGTTGATGAAGGTAGAACTGATGAAGGTAAAATTGAAAAACTGGAGTTAGTCTTTCTTCTATTGACAATTTCCATTTCAAGTTTTGCTGTTGTAATTCCCCAGACCGTCATTAAATACTTGCAAAGGTTTAATCCCATAAATGTTTTATCCGGTTGGTTGTCCTCTTTTTAAAGGGTCTGCTATAAAACTCTACTTTCATCTCTAAATCCACTGACGATTTCTCACAAGAACAATAGATGATGAAACAACTTGAGCATTCTTATAAGACTTGATGTTGTTGAGTGCACATTTAAAGAAAGCAAGCAGCTTTTTAGCTCCAAACGATGCAAATTCCTCCTTGTTATCATCCTCCTTATCTGCATTATCACCACGACCTATAACATTTTCATCATCGCCATCACCCTTAACAATCTCATTCTCATTTTGAAATTTTTTCTCTTTTATTTTTTTGTTTGATGAAACAAACTAATATTCTCATTCTAATATTCTCATCATCATCAACGACAACCATACTATTTGTGTTGTCTTTTGCTGTTAAGTTTCATCGTTATATCTTTCACAATGTCCAACTCAGTTATCTTCTGATAAAATTGACGAGTCCTTGGTAGGTTTAGGCAATCTTTTCTGACATAGTGTTGCATTAAAGTCTTGTCAATCAAAGAACACGATCAGACTAAAGTTTCAAGAGCTGAGTGTCGATTTACATTGCTTTTATTCAATAAAGATTCAACCTCTCCGATAAATCCAGCTAACTGGTTTATGGTCTTTTAACTTTTGAGGGCACGAGTCGTCAAACTTTTAAATAATTTCACCATCAAATTTTTATAGCAGGGCATCTTATTTATTTTTCTGACCAATTTTGTCCAACGCTTTCAATTTATCATCAACTTATCCTTTACCATAGTCATCTTCATCATCATCTTTATCATCATCATCATCATCGTTAGCAGCAACAGCTTCTCAGCATAATCATCACTTTCAGTCTCAGCCTCCGGATAGCAGTCATCCTTGTCATCATACTGTTTCTAAACTTTGCGTTCACCAGACACATTCCATTACCATCATCATAATCATGATTACCACCACTACTACTACTACTGTCATCACTATCATCGTCGTCGTCAGCACCATAATCGATTGAGTTTATTAGGTTATAAATATTAGTATTTATTATTGTTGCTGTTAGTCATATTATTATTATTTCTATTATTATTAATGTTGTTATCCTCGTAGTTATCATATGTCTATTTCCTGCGAAGAATATACTGACTTTTCAAGTTAATGCCATTTTCGTTTAGGAAAACCGATTTAATTAACCTTATTGTTGACGTGTTGTTAATAATTCTGGGTTAAATGTTAACAGAACCAGTATGTCTCAAGAACAATATAAAAACAGATTGAGCATGAACTAAACATGAATTCAAAATCTATGGAAGCATTTGCTTCCGCATTTTGCTTCCGCAAAAGCAAGAAAACTTTGAATTGTGAATTTTGCTCAGAATGTTTTTTTTACATTTTTTTGACACAGCCTTTATACGAATCCTCGTTTTATATTACCTTCGATTCTTCTGACTTGAAATCCGCATTCGATATTGTTTAAAATGTTATTACTATTTTTACTTTTGTACTAACAAATTTCTTATATCGTTTTTAAACTCGTGTTTGCTAAAAATAACCTATAGATTAGTTGCTTTCGCTGTTTTGTATAAAAATCTGCAAAAACAACAAATTTATACTTATATTAATCTAATCATGCATCTACATAAATGACCTCTGCAACGTTTTTCCTTCAACCAAATGCGTACTGTTCGCAGGCGATACCAACCTTTTTTTCAATTCAAACAACTTACCTGATTGCCCTGAACTTATCAACCTCGAACTCCAAAAATACTCTAACTGGTTATCCAATAACAAACTAATCATAAATTATTCGAAATGTGCATACATTATTTTTGGTCCAAAAATACTCACCAACCAAGCTCCTATCCTAAACCTATTATTTAATGGCGTTCCAATAAATCGCACCCTGTCAAATCACACCACCATCACAGAAAATCTCTCATGGAATTCTCACCTACAAACTACCTCAGACAATAATATTTGTTATTGATGGAAAGGGGGCCCCATGGAATTATATAAATTATAATTTATATAAATAATTACTAATTATTATTATTAATTAAATTATATAAATTATAATATATAGAAATATATAATTCAATGGGCGGCGGCACACATCTGTTTTATTTTAATTTAAAAATTAATAGCTATTAAAAAAAGTGAAAAGCAAGAAACACGATTGATCAATCTGTTTTATGAAAAAAAGCTTTCAAACTGACAACACGCTTAGCATGCCGATAAAGCCGTTACATGGATTAGAATATTTTATACACTATTAACATAAACTCTGCGTTCTTCGCCGACGTATGATCTTAAAAATATATCGAAGAAAAGAGTAAACATTGCGGCCAAATTTCAGTTCGGCTGTTTTTGAGTCTGTCTATTCGCCAGTTTTCGAAAGAATGTGTCTAAATTTTATTGTCATTTATAACACCTCTGTTGACGTGAAATGTTAAGAGATCGTTGGAACAGTACTTGACAATATGTGCTAACAAAATAAAGCACAAATTATTTTTTAAGACTATGAAGGAAAATTGGAACAATAAAATGTCTGTCCCACTATAATGTAATAGTTACGCAATATTCAATTATTCAATTTAATATAGGTATAATACAATTTAGCAAAATTTCGTAGAAAAAGACAATCGTAAAAAACTATCCAATCCCATTTACAGCTCACAAAACAAATCACACCAAGAAAAAAAGCCAAACGTAATTGAATGAGATTTAAAAAAGGGAATAATATATCAGATCTAAATATTATTAAGTTAAAATAAGATAAATATTATTAACTTAAATTTTCAAATAAACCCATACATGCATCCGCATATTATATCATATCATATCACATATCATATCATATCATATCATATCATATCATATCATATCATATCATATCATATCATATCATATATCATATATCATATCATATCCATCAATCAATAAATCAATCAATCAATAAATCAATCAATCAACCAACCAATCAATCAAACAAACCATCAATAAACTTCTACATGTCACAACTGCTTATTTATTGCTTTTACGTTTTATATGCAACCTTTCAACTGTACGTCATGTTAAATATTTGATCCTCTTCTAGCCAATTCCTCTAATTCTTTAGCTCGATCGTGGGCCGATTTGATGGTCTCCATGATAAGTGCTCGCATGCCGCCTTTTTCCAACGCGAAGAGGCCAGCTAATGTTGTGCCACCTGGTGAGCAAACTGAATCCTTCAGAGCAGAAGGATGTTGCCCTGTTTCCAGAAACATTTTAGCCGCACCCTTACGAATGAAAAAATAGATGCAAAATGTCATCGACAAAACCATAAACCACTGCAAAAATGAAAGAAACTCAAAACTTAAAATAAAGGGGAAAAGTTTCATAGACCATGCTCCTTTTCCGATTTTTTCACAAGCCAGAATTTTACAATCATAAGAACATGCTGCAGCCAAAACGATATATTTTGCAATCGAGCACATGCAGACAATGACTTACAATGAGAGTGTGTGCAGCAAGTTTCTGCGCCACATCTCTCGGCAGACCCAACATTGACCCTCCATCCCCTGCTGCATCTATGCCCGTGTACACCTGTCGTAGATGGATAGTGCATCAATCAGCAGAGGTGAAGGAACGCATGTACTCAATGCATGAATAGGCGCCTATGTAATTTCTATTCGACAATTTTAATAAAAACACGTTTTTGTCAATAGTTTACATATTCAAGTTATTGGACAAAGTAAAACACAAAACAGAGGTAGAAGTAAGAACATACATAAGCTGGCCCACTTCCACTGATAGCCGTCACAGTATTGAGATCCTTCTCAGGAAGCTCTAAACAAATCCCTACACTCTCAAAAAGACGACAAGTGATACGCAGGTCTTCAGGTAACGCCCATCGACCGCCACTCGTCACAGTCACACCATAACCAACAGCAACTGAAGAATTGGGCATAGTTCGGACGATCCGTGTGTTCGTTGGTAGAACCTGACGATGAAATACTACACGTTTTTACTTATAATCCAAAGTTGCATCACGAAAGATTTTACGAAAAAAACAACCTATACAAACTCACATACAGAAACCCTCAAATAACCTCCCACACAAAAAATTCTCTATATAATCGGAATAAAATAAATTTTCAAATATCAATATAATTTGTAGTAGGAAGGTAAATGTACCAGTCAGAGCAACGTATCAATCCACACAGATCAAGGCAATAAAACATACTTGGACGCCTACTGCTAAGTATTCCAGCGTTACATCATCACTGTAACAATATTCCACCCAATTATAATTAGCACGTTAGGTAACACGACAGAAAATGTTACGCTAACACAACAGCAGCTGCTAACAAAATCAACCTATATGATCACAACTAACGTCTTCAATTTGCCTAGTTGAGATTCCAGCACAAATTGAAACGAACAAATGTCTTGAGGTGACGACTGCCTCTTTCAAACCAGCCAGCAGCCTGAGAGCAATATTAGGTTTAACGGCAATGACGATGATATCACTGGAATTTATGAGATCGAGATTGCTGGCCGAAATGTGTATCCCCTCAAACTTTTCAGCCTGCATCATACAATAAAAGCATAATTAGAATGCAATAGGATACAAATTCCTATAGAATGCATAAATGCGCACAAATAATTATATCACTAAAACTTAGAGAACTTGTGAATAATCTGAAGAACTCACAACAACTTGTTGTAATATGGACTGGTTAACATCGTAGCATGTGATCTGATCTGCTTCCAAAACTGTAACAAAAAAATAATTTTTATTGATTACATCATAATAATATTCTTTGCAAATTAAGTAAATGTAGTGAACTAATGTTGAACATAAAGATCAGAAACAAAAATCTCTTCTAGCATTTTTAAGATAAAAAATTGATTGGAAAATATATTAAACGAATGAAAAATTAACAGAATGAATAAATCAGCAAACAAATTATAACTCTTTCTCTCTCTCTCAATTTCCATAATAAACTCCTTTTGATCTGATTCCATTAGGAAATAAATGAAATCTGGTTCTGCTTTTTATTAAAATTATTCGCAAGCAATGTAGACAAGCAACTATGTCCATTTTTTCAAATTATTGGCAAGTAATTAAAAAGACACCGTGAATCATAATCTTTGGTTGATAATATGGAAAGTATCCGCAATCGTTCTTAACTACAAATAAATCAATGAAAGTTTTTATCATACCTTAAAAACATTAGAGTTTTTGTAATACGACCTGTCATAGACATATTTTCTAGACAGATGCAAACAGACTAGAAAAAAAATTAGATTTAAAATTGAACAAACTGAATTGGACAGCTTAGAAAAACAAATTTCATAGATACCATAATAATAAAAAATAGTTTTCAGCTGAACATTTCAATGTGAGACGTCGGAGCATTTCTCTAGAAATTAAATCAACAAGTATTTGCTTCTTTAGACTGTTGGTTTTTAGAAATTTCTACTTGGACATTTTTTAATAAAAAAGTATCGCGTCTCCGGTATACTGCCCGTGTTACTCTGTTACATCATTAAACTTATAAATTTATTTCACATAATTACTAAAGATAAAACAATTACACAAATGTGCATGACAATTTCTAACTAAATAATATTAGCAAATATTATTTAAGACTAACAAATATTTTAATTTTATTGTCATGAACCTACTTTTTTTATAGAAGAAACCTCTACACAAATTTTGTGCCATAAAGCCGAATCCTATAAACCCCAACCTTTTGCCATTAAGTGCATCAGCTTCAGTACACTTGGCCATTTGTAGCTGCTCCTTAAATCTGCAAATTACAAAACTATTAGGAGAAAATATAAAAACTGGTAAAATTTAATAACAAAATTGAGTTTTCTAGGTGACCCGACAGACTTCGTACTGCCTCAATCGATAAATAAGACCTAAACTTTTGTATAAAATAATTTTAAAACAAACAAAACAAATTCGTATTTAATAAAAAAGCATATTTTGAATGAAGGATGAAGTTTTATCATTATTTTCGACATATCATGTAGCTTAATCACAAAATAGAATTTTCCTAAAATACTGGCAAATTGTGAGGTGATAATCCAGACAATTACAGTGAATTTAAAAACTCTGTGAGACTGTTGACTACGTCATCTTGGTTCATAATGGTGTCGACTGATTTGAAGGAAACCAACTGTCCTGGAAGAAAATTCTGAGTGGTCGCATTGAGAATAAGCTCCTCTTTTGAGTCTGTGATATGACAGAAATCTGTGGGTAACGTGATGAATACGCTCAAGGTGTCCATTGCAACTTTATTATTTCCAATGTCTAACAACTGCTTTGCAAACACATTTGCAGTTTCATCTTGATGCAAAAATACTCGCATGTTCGTTGTTAATTAGAGTGTCTTTACATACTGCCACAAATTCGATGATTTTAGACATGCATTTATTTAGTTCATTAGCAACAGCTGATCGAGAAATTATCGGAAGAGTCTGACGAAACTCACCTGACAAAAGAATCATGGCCCCACCAAAAATATTTCGGTTGTCACGAAGGTTTTTCAACGTTCTGTCCAGTGCCTCCAGTGACCTCTTATGGGCCATTGTGTATACATCCCATACAATCAATTTACTTGTAGGATCTTGAAAATTGCGCTATTTTTGGCAATGTTGCTAATTGTTGTTTCAGTGATTTGCATGTTTAATGGTAATTTCAAAGCAGAATATGCAGTTCGCCCACCTTCTAGCAGAGTCGCAGCTATTCCAAATGAAGACAACGCTAGAGCAACACCATTTCCCGATTTGATCCTCCCCAAGATTTCGTCAGTTCCTCCAAAGTTCTAAAGTTTATTCTTTTCGCGGACGACACGACCCTTCTCCACTCCGACTTGAACTATGGCAATCTCATTTTAACTGTCAATAATGAACTACAAAAAAATATGAGTGGGTTTCCTCAAATAATCTTAGAATTAACTTAAATAAAACTATTTTCGGTTCTACTATACGTTCACGTTTATTAAATTCTACTATTCTTGTTAACAATATTAACTCTATTAAATTTTTGGGTCTCATTATTAACAATTCAATCAATCAATCAATTAATTAGCTTATAATTTCGCAATGTTCAACAGCGCTCCTTAATGAATTTTGCAAACAGATGAATTTTGCTCTGAACTTCGTAAGTGATGGAGAAGTAGTCAGAGACGTAGGTAGAGAGTTCCAGAGAAAATGGCCAGAAAAAGCAAATGCAGATTAAGCAAAAGAGTGTTTAACACGAGTTAAGAAGTGAGAACAAGAAGACGATCGTAAACCGGAGCGTTTAGGTTCAATTAATATATCTGCAAAGTACTTAGGAAATCTGATAAGTACTTAGGAAATAATTTAGATTGAGATTCACTATCACTATCCTGGTTAGATCATATTAATTATATATCCAGTTGAGTTGTAAAAAACATAGGAATAATTTATTGTCTTAAATAAAAATTTTGTATTCTTTATATAACTCCTTAGTTATTCCATATTTCATTTATTGTGTATCAATTTGTGGTTCAAGTCTAAAAACTCATCTGCATGTTTTAAAATTGAACCAACATTTTTTGTTAGAAATTTATTTAATTTCAAAAAATTGATCATATTTGTGTTTATTATAAATCATCCAAAATTTGGCCAATAGAAAATTTACATTTACTTTACTCTTAACGTTTTTTAGAAACAATCCTAAACCTACTTTCTATTTTTTTAAGCCGAGGACAAGTTTTATCATAAATTTTGTGCTTAATGTATCAATACGCCTCTGGAATTCATTACCTGAATTAATTAAGGAATCTAGCTCATTTACTTTTTTTTAAAAATCGGTTTCTAGTTTAATTTTAAATTTGTTACGCCTTGAAATATTTTGTGTTAAATGTACTACTAATTCAAACTCTCTTTTGATCAATTGTTTGTTCATTTATTTATGACTATTGTAAAATGGCATAAGTTTGTAATAATCTTGTTTCCTATGGTTTGGTTTAGCATTATTCGAATTCATTATTATTTTTTTTATTATTGTTTACTTATTCGGAATTTTTTCATTTTAGTGATTATTATTTATGTTTTCTTTTTATTTATTTTTTGATAAGAATTTTGTAATTAATTTGTTTTGGGTGATCATACAAGCTCATTGAGCTTCTGCGTTTTCCGGCCTTGTGCTGAAATAAAATTGTTAAATTGTAATCAATGTTATAAATCAGTCCACTCATAATTTGGGGGCACACTCGAATGGTCTTTCTTTCTCCATGGTTTGACGGTGGCTGCAGATCAAAAAATGGCTTTGCCGCAAGTTCGAAAGGCTACATTTGTATTTATGCATGTATGTACGTATGTATGTATGCTTGCTTATGCATGCATGCATGTAATTCAGACCCTTCGTTGATTAATTATAATCTATGTTATTAGGTCACGCACAGAAAGGCTATTTAACGCCCCATCAAGTAAACAAAAAGAATTAAATTTTTGAAGCAGAACAGATATATTCTTTAATGTAGTTTTTATCTAGAGGGTTTCCAGATATTAAGATAATTTTATTAGTAAATTCTTTTAAAAAAAGATGCGAATTTTTTCGGTTGGTCCAAAGGTTTCTATGCATATTGGTTGAGAAATTTTAGAGTCATTGGGAGTAGCATACTTAGACATTTTTTGGTCGTATGCTTTTAAGGGAAGCGGTACCTGCCTCGACCGCTGTGAAAAAAATGTATCTTTCGACCATCGTGTAGGGGACGTCACATTCAAGGCCAGCGAATGTCCCACAGCCCATGGAGAAATTGTGTGTCCATCAGGTCTGAAGTTTCCATCACCGATATGGCTGCTTTCTGGAAGCAGCGAACCAGGAAATTATTCATCGCTGAATGTTTTGCCTGGCGTCCAGAGCCAAGACGGCATGAAAGACTATAATAGCCCAATGGATCAACCTTTGCTCCGCAGTGGCAAACATACTAGGTAACAACTGAAAACCAAACCTCAATCTCGCTCGAATGACCGAATCATCCAGCCTTGTGCAACCACCCATGCTAACAACATGGCGTGTTCCTATCTCGGAATTAAGTTTTTTATTGAATTTTACCAACGGCTTCCAGATTTTTTAATAAATCTCAACCTAAATAATTAAACATTAAACTACAATAATTTTTAATTAATAATCAACTACTTTATTATAATTTTCAATAAATAAAACTAATAAATAAATGATTCAAATTAAATTGCTCTGTTTTATTTAATTCTAATTGCAATAATTAATTAGTTGTGTCTTAGTTAATTGTTATTTAGACATTTTCATAAACTTGAATTTTCATCGATTACTCTTAACTTCAATAAAATAAAATAATTTTTGTGTCAACATTCAACACGAGGACTTCCTACACTTCTTCACACCTACTTAATTTCAATTTTAACCATCCCTCGCAATAATCTTTTCAGGTTCAAAATATGGCGACCGTCAAAAATTCACAACACATTAATTTTGGCTTGTTGAACACTCGTTCAGCAGTTCGTAAAGCTGCACTCATTCACAATCTAATGCGGGATCATTGCCTGGATGTGCTGTGTTTAATTTAACAGAGACATGGATTGCATCTGACGACCCTGATGTAGTCTAGTGTGATGTCATCCACCTGGCTTCTCAGTTACTCATCAGCACTGTTACTCATCAGTGTTTTTTCAACAAACATCAGATTCATAGTGTGCGGTGATTTTAATGTGCCTTTTCCTTGAGCATCGGTAAAGGCTGAACTGTTGGAAATCAGAGATGAATTTTTAATCTGTTCCTACATGTTTGTTCGCCTTCACATGATAAGGGCAATATCCTCTACTTGTTGATCACACTGAAAAAACATTCAATCATTGTTTCAACAGTCAATGTCTACCCAACATCGTTTTCTGATCACAACCTCATCACCACTTCTATCTACCCTTCTCAACTCTACATTATATCCAATAAGGTTACATTCAGAAATATTATAAAAGTAAATTGGTCAAAGTTCAACAATGACCTACTTTTCTCCTCAATTCTTGAATGTGATAAACACACTGTTCATCAGTATGCATCTCACATTAACTCAATAGTTACTCAAACACAACAACAACACACGTTTAGACGGCATTTTCCCCGAGATCGGGGGTTGCCGTTTGGCTACCTATGATGAAACCGAAATACCCCTCGACGCCATCCACATCTGTCACTCGCCTCAGTATCACGCAACCCCGCTTTCACCCTGTCCTTCTCCACCTGCTCTCTCCATCCCAATCGCGGACGACCCCTTCCTACCACTCCTTCAACCTCGAACTCCAACGCTCGCCTAATCCCGACCCTTTCATCCCTTCTCAACACATGTCCATACCACCGCAATCTCGATCTTCTTATCAATGTCACAATGTCCTCATTCAGTCCCATCACTGACATCAGCTCTGTACTACTCCTCCTATCCTTCACTTTAACCCCACACATCATCCTCACCATAGCTCTTTCAGCCCTCTGCAGTACACTTTCCTCCTCTCTCCTCAACACCCAAGTTTCACCACCATATATCATCGCTGCTCTCACACATGCTTTATATACCCTCCCTTTCATCTTCACTGACCATTTCTTTCCACACAATACCCCACCCAGTTCCCTAAATTTCATCCATCCCACACGAACTCTAGCCGTAACTGCGCTCAAACATCCTCCATCCGCATTCAGCTTATCCCCTAAGTAAACAA